AATCCTACAGACTATTCCACCAGGCTACCCTGATGTAAGTGAGGCTAAAAAGTTGCATAGTGCGAAAAAATATAGTGTGGCGTGGCCAATCTTCAAGCTTCACGCCGATAATGGTGATCCGCAAGCGGAATTTTATGTTGGTTATTATCTCATTTCCGGTGATCGCGGAGTTGACAAGAACAAAGAATTGGCTGTTGAATATTTTCGTAGATCAGCCAGCAAAAATATTCCTGATGCTCAATTTAGATATGGTGTAGCTTTGCTTAATGGTGAGGGGGTTGTTAAAAGTGCAGAAAATGACAAAATAGCTATTGAAAATTTAGAAAAGGCAGCAAATCAGGGAAACCTTAGTGCGATGTTTAATTTTGGTGATTTATTGATCAATGGCGCTCACGGAGTGACTCAAGATTTGGAACAAGGGGCAAATTGGCTGAAAAAGGCACATAAAAAAGGTCATCCGCATGCTTATAAAAAACTTGCGGATAGATATCGAGTTCTAAAATTAACAATACCTGAACCTGAGGAAATATGATTTCTATTTAAAAGAATTTTTGGATGGATTATTATTTAGATTATACTCTTTGATTTTTTAAAATATCTAAAAATATGAGAATATAAATTCTATTTTGAAATCGAAGTTTTAAAGAAATCTATGGACGACCATAAAAATGCCAAGATTATATGTATTCAGAATCCATATTGCTAAAGGATACAGAAGAATGGTCGTAACTAATAATATTATAATAAGTAATTTGTGAACTGGATAAGAAAAGTTAGAATACGTGAATTTAACGCAAAGAGAGAACTAAAATTATCGAGACTTCAAAATTTATTAATTGAAACTTTATTATCTAAATAGATAACTTATTTTATTATTTATTTTTGTCAACTTATTTATTCTTGTATTTTATGAATATATTGGATTTAAAAATAACATTATTTTAATATTCTGAATAATAATTCTTTATCTCTCACGCTCATGAAAATTTCTAGTTATTTTATTACCAAATTATCTCTTTAATGAAAATTCATTCAATTTTGCTACTTCTCGTCATGCAATAAATAATCACCACTCGGGGTACATCAGCTATCAATTCTTTTTCATAAAAATCATGAGAATTTGAACCAGAAATATCAAATCCATAATTGGAGTACCTTCCTTCTCGCTTTATTCTTCATTTTCTTGAATGTTCTCATTTTTATCAGTCATAAAAAATTTTCATTCCTGATAATTGTTTCTTAAATGAATTGTATGTTCATTGATTTATAGATTTAACTCTTCAACATCTGTTATAGAATGGAAATGTATTAATTTATTGAAGAAAGAAATATGATATTAATCCAATGATATTAAAGGAATCCTTGGATAAAATTTTCATTAAAAATACTTGAACATACTAATAGGTATACGAGTGTCCAGTGCTTCATTAACGCGCTCAGGATTTATTTTTCTTTCTCGCTTATATTTGTTTTTAATCTGTATTCGCGTTTTTGTATTATTAAACGACTTTTGAGATATTATTTCAAAATCTGTTCCCCATTGGGACAATGACTGTAATTTTGTAATAGTGGTTACTAATTATAATATATATATAAAGGAAAGGTAAGCTAAATAATTTAAAAATTGCCTTGTAAAATAATTCCGTTTCCTCATTTGTCCACCTTTCGTTTCGTCTTGGACGTTTTGCATAAGAATGAGAATTTACGATATGAGAGAATTTATCTTCTTCAATAACTTCCATCCCTTCAGGATTAAATACGTTACGATGTTCATTTGGATCTTCTCGAACAACGTATTGTCCATCGTCATTTATGAATCGACTACCACGATTCGTAAAAGTGCGTCTAATATTTAAAGAAATGTGTTCTATATTTAAGTAATAACCAATTTAAAAATTTATACGATAATTTCCATACCTTTTCATAAAAATTGGCTTATCATTTCCAATCTCGTTATTAGTTTCTTCTTCATCGTTTAATTCTTCCCCATTAATTTCTTGATCGTATTCTCCCATTTCTTCATAATTTCCTTCGCTATCTTCTCCGTCCTCAATATATTCATTATCATAATTATCATTTTCATCAGAATTTTCCTGATTGTCGGCTTCGAAATTTTCTTCTAGATGATCACTATCTTGTAGATCATTATCTTTTTGGCTATCTTCTAGCAATTGATCTTCGTTCGATTTTTTTCTTATTTCGTCATCGGGGTTACTTTCATCGCATTCGTTAAGATCATCAAGTTTTAAACGTTTTGCACGTCTTTGATGTGCTTTTAAATATTTGGCAAGCTCTAATTCTTTAAAAGTAGAGGACTTTCGTCCTCTTTTGATATCCTTGCATAATTCTGCTATAGTTACAACGGCATCATCATGTGGAATTTCCTCTTCAGGATCATCCTCCCAGGGTTTTGTTCGTTTTTTATTATTAAGTTTACGTATTTTGAACGATTTTCGTTTCTTAGTCGAACTGCCACTACCACCACTAACGCCAGATCCATCAGTTGCAGTTGATGTAACTGAAGCAATTGAATTAGATCTTTTATGACGTTTTGCGGTTTTTTTTAAAAAATCCTCCGTTTGCCCGGGTGTACATTCTGATTCATTATCGGAGGGATTACTGTTAGAGCCTTGTGATAATGCATTACCTATATCACCTATATCTACGGAACCTTTCTCTTTCTCAATAAATTCCTCGGAAAAATTCTCAGAGGTAGAAGAAAATTTTTGTGTTCCGCTGGTAGTTGGAACATTATCCTGTGCAATTACCACCACAGAATCTGTAGAATTATTGTTATAATCAGTAATGAAATTATCTTTTGTAGACACCTCAGATTCGGTAACAATATCCTTAGAATTCGATGTAATGTTTGTTGGCGTTAACTGCCTAATTTGAGTAGGGACATCAAAAGGAGTTCCGATTGACTTTGACTTTAGCTGACCAGGAGTATCAAACGGGGTTCCTCTTGACATAGCTGTACGTTAAAATAAAAAAAAATAATTTTTTATTATATAATATATTATCAATTTATCAAAGAAGTAGTGAAAAAAAAAAAGAACCTCCAGACTTTGGTCGAACTAAGGACCTCGAATTATATATTGATCTAGAGTAATTTGAATGCATTTTTGCATTTATCGGACTATTATCGACTGCTACAAAAGAAATTTATAGTTTGTGTGACGTGTC